ATTCTTTTTGTCCTTTTTATATTATTGTTGTAAACACACGGCCCTTTGAAAACCAGCGCTGTAAATATTATCTGCTGAACAGGCTACCGTGTTTAAATAATTTTATTAAAGATTAAAGATTAAAGCTAACTTAGGGCGCTTTCGACAATGGCTGTCGCTAAATATTGATGCCTTCCAAAGCCCAAACTGCTAACCGCAGACGAAGCAACTCATAACGAAACCTTACAAAACAACCTGGTCTGAATATACCGTAGAAGTTTAATTTAACTAACGAATATTACAGTAAATACATGAACATATAGTTAGACCTCTACATTCGATGGTTGTTCGCCTTGAGCATCTCGGGCGGGAGCAGCATCTTTCTGGTTGCCAGCTTCGGCGGCATTGCCATTGGAAATGTCTTGTTGCGGCCCTTCAGGAGCTTGCTGGGTTTGTTCTTCAATCTGTGGCGGTTTGTTCAGGAGGTAAAACGACCATTTGGCTGGCTGTGGGATTTCGGTACGTGAAATTGAAGCCGTCGTCCATGTGCTACGCTTCTCAAACGCCAAACTGTGATAATATATTAACTCTCCTTACTTTAATACTCTTCGTTACGCATGATTGCACTTAAAATACTACTTATATCACATCACATCACTTCATTATAACACCCACCTGCGGCTAAACGCACCCAACTCCCCCCGTTTATCTTCGCGTTTCGAAACACCCAGGTCTGTACCTACTTGAAAATACCCATCCCGATTTCAGGTGGTACTAAAGTCCACCTCACATCATTAATTTCGTTCCCAGATGGCGTTTGCAGTAATTAACTTTACTATACTAACTATGCACTTAACATTAATCTTTACTAATTAACTAGTTACTGATAAGTTGTTTTATCATTTGTTCTTTCAAACTAAGTAACCGTAATAATTTCTTAATAATTTTTTTTATTACTTTTATTATGTTTGGTTTTAAAGTTATCTGCTGGGCTCTGCTCTTTATCTTTAAATCATAATGTACGTTAAAAAATTATACTGCTAAGGTTCGGAGCATGAAAAGCATGCACGCGGGGTCTAAACCCATGTCGAACCTGTGTCGAACAGTGATGTCCTAATCAAAACTTGCCGAACTTATATCTTGTTTTTCCCAGTTTTGACCGCGATATCACGGCCAATTAACACGACCTTCTAGCGAAGACCTCACTTGGAAAAACGTGAAGGGCAGGGGAGCCGGTGTAACGCGAAATTTCTGACTTGCGAAATATCTGACTATTGTAGAACTGCCCATGCCGTGCTCAGACGATGCGCATGCATGAATGACTAATTTGGCTCATAAATTTCGCAACTCAACAGACAACACGTGTATTTATAAAGTCATTTTGTTGAACAATATTTATACACTGATGAATTTTCAAATTCTCCAATTGATCAACTGAATTGACATTATGCCACTGGTTGTGAACGTTAGCGTTCAGCGATAATAATAAGGCTTGATTCCTTGAATCTAAAATTTGCGAATGGAAAAAGTCAATCGAAAAGCGCTCTTAGTGATATAAAATAGACTCCAGTCTCAAAGGTGATGCTACATGCATTCAATTATATAAGCATCAAAAATCGTTTCGAGTTTGACCTTCTCAGTTATTAACGAAGTATTAGAAACAAGACGCTCTATGGAGCGTTAACTCGCTGGGACTGTACAATTTTGTCACCATATTTGCTCATAATTTGGTAACCGCTACAGAAAAACTGAAAAACAGAACAATTTACAGAAACGAAGACGCCAGCTCAGGCGTTCACACTGGCCTCGGTTGGCCAAGGTCTTTCCCAGGGTCTTTCTTTGAACGGTGCGAGGCGGTTGGTTTTGTTGATTTGTTTTTGTGATATGCATTGTGCATAATTTAGACTAATTGTATAAGGGGAATTTGTATATTTTGCCTGCGGAAGAAACATTGTTCTTCTGTTCAGGCAACACATGCGCGCTGTGCTTTTGTCCTTCACACGGCGGAAAACGTGCAAATTCCGCTTATATAGAATAGTTTTTGGTGAACTATATTTAAAATCAAACTTATCACGTTTAGCAACAGTACTTGATACAGATTATATTTTTGAGTATTGTACATGTGCCCCAATAGCACATGTACACTCCTTTATTATTTAACGTCTCATACCAGTCGATTTTGCTTGTCAAGAGGAGAGTGCTGCCGCTCTCAAATTCGCTAGGTTTGTAGTGCAGGTAGGTGGCTCAGTTTTGAAGTTTTTGTTAGGTGAATTAGTTTTGACCCAGGCCTAGGACAGTATAGTGACCCCAGGTGGCCAGGTCAGGATTTTATAGAACCAGACACAGTACTAAAATGCGGTGCCCTACAAATAAAACTTCCGGCGTTTCCGCCGTACAAGTAAAGTTATATTCAGTACGCTGCATACTAGTTCTGTCGACTATCGGCCGCCAGTTGGTCCGTACACTAGGATTAAACTGCTATTAAAACGTTCAAAATAAAAGTATTACGATGCCAAACCTACGATACCAAAAGTTATCAAGGATCAAACGTACTGCATTTTTTATTAAATTATTTATTTATTTATTTTTTTTTTTTTATTTATAATTATATTTATCCAGGATACCCACATCACTAATGTGTTTTTCAGTGGGGTCCTGCATGATACAATCATTAACAAAATTTACTTATATAAATATATACAATTAATTTACAACGTCACGACATAAAGAAACGAATAATTAACTATATCTAATAAGTACAACTAAGAATAGTTATACGGTATGTGACCTTAGTAAAGACTTAAATTGACTGAAAGAATCAGTGTTTCTGACGGAAACGTCCAAGTTGTTAAAGTCTTTCGAAGCGAGGTAGGTTGGTTTATGTTTGCCACAGTTCGTGTTGACTTTCGGGAGATGGAGGTTGTTACACGATCTTGTACTGTGGGAATGGATTCTGCTGTTAGTTGTGAGATTGAAGTCGAAATCTATCAGTCCATTAATAGTGCATTTGTAGATAAAGATACAACGATGTTTATATCTGCGAGATGAGAGTTGACCAGTGTAATGTAGCGAGAGCTTCGGTTGCCGACGAAAGAGGAGGGAGATCTAGTATTAATTTAGCTGCTTTATTTTCCAAACTTTGCAAGGAGTTCATGAGTTCTGAATTGTTTTTATCGCCCAAATTACATCGGCATAGTCAAATAGCGGTAGTATTGTCGAAGTATAGAAAATCTGTCTTGCATCCAGCGGTAAGAAAGATTTCACACGGCGCAGCAATCCCAATCTTTGGTTGATTTTCCCCATTAATTTCTCAATATGTTCATGCCAGGTAAGGTTCTCGGTAATTGTGATGCCCAGATATTTTAACGATTGTTCTTGTTTTATCGTCCGATTGCAAATAGAGATGTTGATGTTAGAGATGGATCTTAGGCGTTGTCTACCGGCGAAAATGATGAACTTTGTCTTGTCATGATTGAGTGTAAGGAGGTTGTTGTTAAGATAATCGGAAAGGGATCGTAGGTCGGAGTTGAGTTTTGACTGTAGATCGGAAATACTTTCTGCAGAGTAATAAAGGAGTGTGTCATCGGCATAAAGTATCGACTTGCAGTGGGTCAAGCATTCAGGTAGATCATTAATATAAGTAAGGAAGAGAAGTGGTCCAAGAATACTTCCCTGAGGGACTCCGACAGTTACTGGCTTGGGTTGCGACAATGAACTGTTGATCACGGTTACTTGGGTACGGTTTGATAGATACGAGCAGAACCAGTCGAGAACAGACGAGGTAAAACCGATTGTTCTCAATTTCTCCAATAAGATGGTATGGTTTACGGTATCAAAAGCTTTCCTTAGGTCGATAGAGACGGCACCAGTGATTTTTCTGTGATCGTGATTATCCAGTATCTGCTCAGTAAAATGTGCCAGAGCAATGGTGGTTGACAGTTTGGAGCTAAAACCGAATTGTTGGGAAGCTAGTAACTTGTGTTCTTGCAGATAATTGTAAACTTGATGGTGGACGATTCGTTCTAGTAACTTACTCAAGGTTGGTAGGATGGTGATTGGTCGGTAGTTGTTGGATGAAGTTGGGTCTCCAGATTTGAAAATTGGAGTAACTCTACCTTTCTTCCAGATGTCGGGAAATGAGCCACAGCGTAAGGAGAGGTTGAAAATTTTGGTCAAATATGGTGCGATTATATAGGCGGAATCTTTAAGTAGTTTAGCACTAATTCCGTCCAGACCAGTGGCTTTGGTAGTTCTTAACTTACTCAGTTCCTGCAACACAGACACTTCATCAACTTCTTTGAAATTAAAGGAATGGGGTGATGTAGCGGTGGTCTTAGTCGGTTTAGGTTTGATTAGATCTTTAATTTTGTTCGCAAGTGTGGATCCTATAGATGAGAAATAGTCGTTCATGATTGTTGCGATGGAACGTGGGTCGTTTACCGGGGCGTTTTCACTGATAATACAGGAGGGAGTGGTTTTAGTTGGATTGCGAGAAGTGACTTCATTAATTGTTTTCCAAAGTTCAGCAGGTTCTCTGTTGTCATTGATCAGATTTTGATAGTAGTTGGATTTACATATCTTAACTTGCTGGTTTATGAAATTCTTAAGATCGCGGTAGGTATTCCAGTGGTATTCTGAATTATACTTTTGGGCATGTTTTAAATGAAAATCGCGTTCTCGCATGAGGTTAAGAAGTTCAGGGGTCATCCATGGTGCTCTTACGATAGATTTTACTCTCTTGGGTTTCATAGGGGCGTGCTTATTGGCCGATTCACAAAATGTTTCGCAAAACTTATTGATAATTTCATGAGTCAATTTAACGAGTCAATGAAAGTCCAATCTGATTTTCCTACATCGTCTCTAAATTTGCCTTCATTGTAATGTTTGTAGCAACGATAATTAATGTCCCTATAACATCCGCCAGATTTAGGAAGTCCAGCTTTAATTGTGCAGTATATAAAGGAATGATCGCTGATTGACAAAGGAAAAACTCCGCTAGAAACAACGCGTGGATTATTGTTCACAAAAATCAAATCAATCATTGATTGCGTTTTTTCCGTAATTCTTGTTGGTGACGTAACGATTTGTTCGATCGAGTGAGCTCGCGCAAGTGTTTGCATGCGCGATCTATCCGTTGAGCGTTGTTTGAAGTCGACATTGAAATCACCCAATAAAACAATTTCTGCGTTTTCTGGAATTTTGGCAAGTTCTTTGTTTAGTTCCTCAATAAATTTACTTAGTGGAAGTTCTAGCGGTCTATAGGCCGAGCAAATAAACATTGATTTCGTACGAGGTCGTATAATCTCAATCCAACATGTTTCAATTGTTTTACTACATAAATCATCACGTGTTCGATATGGCAAACTCTCCTTGACATAAATAGCTGTCCCGCCACCAGCTTTATCTTTACGGTCTTGACGAGTAATTAGATAGTTTGGTATGTTAATTTCTGCATCAGTAACTGTAGGTTTAAGCCAAGTTTCAGATAAGGTAAAAACATCAAATGGATTCTTGCTGATAAACATACGTACCAAATCAATCTTCGGAAGTAAACTTCGCAGTGGCGTGCTGGGTACTATTTTTCTGGGGAGGCCAGTCAGCTGGCAACTAATATGCGCCCCTATAATATTACCCTTGATAAACGAGGGCCGAAGGCACGAGCCGAGCGCCGCAGGTGCGAGGTTTGTCTAGGGGGGTCCGGGGGCATGTCCCCCAGGAAAATTTTTGAATTTAGAGTCTCTGAAATGGCATTTCCTGGACTTTGGGGGAAGATTTGACAGAAATCTGATGGTCAGGAAACGCCATTACAACGTGTCGAAATTTGAAAATTGGTTAGAATTTAGTAGTAGCACTTAAATTGGGCAATGCTAACTACTTACAGCAATTAATCTAATCCCAATTCTATTCTCTACTGATCTGAATACATTTACAATTTACAGCTCTTTTATACAATAACACACGAACCCCACGCATATGCATTTTAAGGTTTCCTTGCCTGGCTGCCAAAAGGGCGTGTTTCATCATTATCTCATTACTTACATTACTCATAATGTTTCTTGCGCAAACAACTAAATTGCGTACACAACTTTACATTATCATAACTTCAACTATCTAATTTGCGCCGCTCTCGTGATTCGTGAAGCATAATAAAGGGCATAATATAAGGGTATAATACCAGCAAAAAAGGGCATAATTCCCGTGATCGCTTCAAAGCCTGATCAATATTCCGGTAATGAGACATTGCATGCGATCACTGATCATGTTTCTATATGAACGAGTGATTTCGTGTGAGTCGTGAGGTAGCAAATACGGTTAGACAAAATAGTCTGCAATTTAATATACTCACTTTGTCGCATATGCGCTTAGTCTGTTTATAAGTCTATAAACACATCTTTCCTTGGCGGAATTAGTAACTATATTTTTTCGAATGCGTTTCTTCTTACCTACTTTCAAAATTCGGCGCGGGATCGGCGCCCCCTTTTCATTTTTGCGCCCCCC